AGTATGATATATATAAATTAATGTTAATTATTATCATACACGTAAATAAATAGTTGAATTGTATAAAAAGTTCATTTCACATAAACAATTTTTTATATTCACTGATTTTCAAATATAATTTTTACAGCGTTTATAAAGCATTTCAAAATAACGTGCAACACACATTTAACAGTGGTTAGTAATTTAAAATGTCGCCATTTGGTATGTAATGAAGGAAATGTTTTTTCCCAATAATTTTATATTCTCAGTTAGACATCTTTTGCGTGTCGTATTGATATTTAACATATAGGATTATAAATAGACATTTTCATTAAATAAAAATATCATGTACACAGTGTTAAAAGGTTGTAGATATATGTACATAATTTGAAAGTAATCGACTTAAGGATTCTGTGAAATTATGGAGGTAAGGAAAATTGGGGAAGAAGATGCAATTGGAGGGAGAATCTGTTGATCGCCAAAATCGATTCCAAAAGTCTGTAATGTACAATATATAGAAAATGAATTAAAATGAAAAAGACTAAAATGACCTCCTAATATTTATGAATTCTTCAATACTTCCCCTCAATATAGGAGGTGTATATTCAAAATTCTCATCTTGGTTATAAGTTGCTTGAATTTAACCCCTCCTAATGGTTTTGTTAACAAATCAGCTAGTTGGTCTTGAGAGGCAACGTGCAACATCTTCACCTCTTCAGCTTGAACTTTGTTTCTCACAAGATGACAGTCAATTTCTATATGCTTTGTTCTCTTGTGAAAAATCGGATTGCTTGCAATGTGAATGACTGACTGGTTGTCACAAAATAGCAATGCTGCTCTATAATGTTCGATGCTTAAATCCCCAGGTATGTTTCTTAATCAACTTAATTCGCAAATAGCAGCAGCCATTGATCTATACTCAGCCTCTGCTGATGACCTCCAAGAAACCAAAGAATACCCTATAAAGACTCAGTAACCTGTGACAGACCTTCTGGTGTCCAAGCATGCTGCCCAATCAGCATCGCAAAGCTCTTCAGTACAAGATTTGATCTGCTTTCAAAGAATAGACATTGTGCTGGTGTGCCCTTCAAGTATCTTAGCACATGGTGTGCAGCTTCCAGGTGTGGCTGCCTTGGTGATTGAAGGAATTGATTGAGTATTTGTACAGCGTATGACAAGTCAGATCTGGTAATTGTTAGATACAAAACCCTTCATATCAACCTTCTGTAAGTGCTTGCATCTTCAATCAATTCTCTCTGATCCTTACTCAGCTTCAAATTCTGAGGTAATTGATATTTAGCAGGTTTAGCCCTAAGGTATCTAGCATCAGTTAGCACATCTAAAGCATATTTCCACTGGTTCACAGAAATTCCATTTGATGTTCTGGCAATTTCAAGCCCAAGAAAATACCTCAAAAGTCCCAAGTCCTTTAATTTGAGCTACTCATTTAGTCCTTTCTTGAATTGCTCAATGTATGATATGTCATTGCCCCATATTATAATATCATCCATATAAATAAGTAAGGCAGTGAAAGACCATTTTTCTTGTCTGCTAAATAAGGAATAATCAGACCTTGAATGTGTAAAACCTTGCGAAATAATGTATGAAGTCAGCTTAGTGTTCCATTTCCTAGATGCCTGCTTGAGTCCATAAATAGACTTGTTCAATCTGCATACAAGTTTCTCCCCAGACTTCCTCTGCTACTTATATCCCTTAGGCATTATCATGTATACCCCCTCATTAAGTTCACCATGGAGGAATGCATTGTTAATATCCAATTGGTGAAGATACCAACCTTTATAAGCAGCCAATGCCAACAAGCACGTCACAATCACCAGCTTGCAACAGGTGAAAATGTCTCTTCATAATCTAGGCCAGCTTGTTGGGTAAACCCCTTTGCAACAAGCCTAGCCTTTTTCCTCTCTTCAGTCCCATCAGAGTTCAATTTTACCTTAAAAAACCCATTGGCAGGCTACTGGCCGTTTATGCTCAGGAAGAGTGATAACTGTCCAAGTGTTGTTTGACACCAATGCTTGATATTCACTATCCATAGCCTTGTACCAATCTGGATACTTAGCAGCTTCTTCATATGAACTAGGCTCAAAAGTAGTAGATAAGGCTAGTGAATATATTCTGTGAGCATGAGATAGCCTGCCATAATCCAAGTACTCAGATATAGGATATTGTTTTCCACCTTTGAGACCTTTTACCATGTATTCAGATTGGAGAGTAGGTACTTGAGATGGAAGACTGTAGTGGTAATCTTCTAGATAGGCTGGGGCACATCTAGGTCTGTTTGATTGTCTGATGGGCAAAATAGGGGTTGGAGCTAGAGTTGGACTTGAAATGGCAGTTGGAATGGATTCATGTGTATTGGTTTGAGGATGATCAGATGAATTAGAAGGTGAAGTAACATTAGGGATATCAGTAGTGGGAATGAAAACATTACCAGAAATGTCAGGTGATGAATTACCATTCAGAACAAGAAAAAGAGTTGAATCAGAAGATAAGTGGCCACCAGGTTTTGATAAGGAAGAAAGAAAACTGGGATGGTGGAATGGAAATATTTTCTCATAGAAAACCACATCTCTAGAGACAAAAATGATGTTAGTTAGCAGATCATACAACTTAAAAGCTTTCATGCTATAAGGGTAGCCAATGAAAATACTAGGGACAGCTATAGGATCAAATTTACTTCGATTCCTCTTGAGGCTAGAAGCATAGCACAAACACCCAAAAACCTTAAGGTGAGAACAAGAAGGTGCAGTTAGATGTAGCATTTCATAAGATGTTTTGTTTTCAAAGGTTAAAGTAGGAGTTCTATTGATCAAATAAGTAGCAGCAAGTATGGTTTTCCCCCAAAATTTATTAGACAGATTGGCTTGGAATTTTATGGCTCTGGCTATGTTTAGTAAGTGTTGATGCTTTCTCTCTACTATCCCATTTCGATGAGAGGTTTCAACACAACTGAGCTAGTGAATGATTCCATTAGAATGAAAAAATTCAGTCATGTGGAACTCAAATCCATTATCTGATCTGAGAACCTTTATTTTTAATCAAATTGAGTTTGAATCATATGATAAGATGATTGAATGACAAATCGACTTTGAGATTTTTCTCTCATTGGATATGTCCAAGTCATCCTAGTGTGGTCATCAACGATGGTTAGGAAGTATCTAGAGCCATCTATTGAAGGGACTGA